CGAAGTCCAGAGAAGCGCCCTCCTGACGCATGCCTGCTTGTTGTTTGCTTTTACGAACTACACGGGAGAAGTGCGCTGTTGTCTCAGCGAATGGCTTGTTCTGGGTGTGCACAAGAGGATTGTTTGCCGCTGCGAAGGACGATTCGGCAAAGCAAAACAATTCTCGTCATCTTCGGGACCGTATATAACGTGGTTGGTTCGTTACTAATGGTGTTCCCTTGGTATCATCACTAAGTATGGTTTCAAGCACCCGAAAACCCGTTCGATTTGTTTAAATTTAGGCTACAACAAACAAAGAGGGTAACAACCACCTCACCAAGTTTTGGAAGCTTCCCAACCGAGCCGCGAGGACGGCAAAAAGCGAGGGTCGATTCCCTCGATGCGCGGTTGACTCAGCCACGGCTTAGCTTTCTCCACACAGCATCCCCATACCCTCCAACCCCTTTGTTGAAATATGGGTTGCTATTTTGGGCAATTGACCTATTCCAGATTGCTTGCTTCCTCAGGCTTATCTTCGCCCTGCTAGGCCAAACTTGAGCGTCTGAGGCTCAAATTGTTTTGGGAAAGGCTGCAGAGGGTTTCTGAATTCGGCGAGTCTAATGGCCTGTGCGAATGACCCATTTCGCTTGACTCATGTTTTTGTTGTTTTTTACCCCAGCCGAAGAAGATTATGTTGATTGCCTTAGTCAGGGGACGCTGAACGGGCCATTCAACAGGTCACCCAAAATGTCGACGCACTAGAGGGTCAACCACTTTCTGAGTCGTATGGCCCTCGTAAATCCGAACTCTTTCATGTAACATCCCTTTTGAAGAACCTGAATCCTGGGCAAGCAGACAAGGCAATGTTGCAATAGCCCGAACCTCGCAACCTCCAATAGCATGCATTTTCAGTTGGCCGTTGGATGAAACCGTGAGCAACATCCAAGGGGGGCTCGGGGGGGGGGGGGCTGCATTTGATTTGTCCCAAGGGTCTCTACATTCCGGTTGAAACTTGGGCTTTTGATTGTCACTTCTAGATGAGTTTCCTCTTGCGGGCAATGTTGTAAGGGGCAAAACCTGTAGCCACCATGTCCGACTGAGATCCAGGTATACGCGCATCAAGCGGGAGCCTGGTAGCTGTCACATGGCGGACTTTGTGGCAGATGTTTACTGCCCCAAGGCTCGGTGGTTGGAGATTTTAGTGGTAGACTAAATACAAAGCAACATTTACTTGCTTCGGGGTTTTGGAGTGGTTGGGGTTTTGAAACCCCTGGTTCTTGTCAACAGTAGTGTGGGACCTGCTTTAATGTGTTCCCCCCCCCTCCGACTATTAAGGCTTTGATCTGGTTGTTTGCTGCCTTTTGCCCATACTTTCTTTCTGCATTAAAGCGACCCCTGAAACACCATAGGTATGAAGCCTTGCCCCACATTCAACAGGAAGCCACCCCCTAACCTCCAAAGTTGTGTTCCATTTTGGGGTCGGCTACATATTAGAGCAAAATCTGAACATTAATATGATGTTTGCTGTAACACAGAGTTGGGCCAAGGACAGGCCCTAAAGCTACTGCATCCAATTGCTTGGTGGTTGAGGGCAGGTAAGCCAAAAGGGTGATGGGGCTGCTCCTGGGCCAAAATTAGTAGCCAAACTTCTACCCTTGCGACAGGGTTGCATGAGAGCACGCTTGGGACTTCCCCCCAAGGATTTGTGCTTTCCACGCAGCCCCTTATCCATTAGTCTATCTCCAAGTGTGGATACCTTATCAGTGGGGAAGGCACAATCAAGCTGAAAAAAACCGGCGGGTCCCGAAGTCTCGAACTCACGCCGGACCGACGTGTTCTCGGAAGGCGCCTCGTGTGCCGCCTGCCATCCTGTCCCCGGGCTTCGCGGTGCCGCTGAGTAACAAGGAGCGGCGGCGATCCACTTCCCTTGAAACCAACCCCAAGAAGCTGCCCTTAAGAACACGGATGTAAACATGCGTAGTTCTACTTGTATATGTGCTAGCCTTGCGTATTACGTATACTATTATAATATATATATATATACATGTGTGTTTGTATGCGTACACATCTTGACATTGCAGATCACGCGATGAATCACCTCGTCTCGTTCTTGCGATGGCTCATGGCTCATGGCCCGCCAGGAGCACCTTGAGCGCCGCGAGCGTTGCTTGGCAGGGAGACTTGTGCGTTGTGCTACCAGGCCTTGTGCGAACCTCACAGCAACTTTGTGAAGAACCCACGTTGGAGTGCAGTGAAAGGGTTGATTCGCCTGGAACGGAACAAGGATGTACAATTCTCTTTCGCTTAGAGGGTCGATTTGGGCCGGTGCGGTATGCGTGGCCAGGGCAGAGGCGGGGTTGGGTAGTTGGTTGCCAGGCTGGCTGGTTGAATGGTTGGATTCGTTGGATGGTTGGTTGGCGGTTCGATGGTTCTGTGATTGGTTGGCTTGTTTGCGTTGTTGGCTAGCAGGTAAGAGGCAGCAATATTGCTTGGAGGTGTTCTGTGGAAGGTCTGTGGGCTGTCTCAGGGCTCGGTGCAGGCGGGTGTGGGTTGGCTTGGGTGGTGTCTTTGTTCCAGGGACTTGAGCAACTATTTCAGCCGGCTTGGGGAGATTGCGTGCTGCTGTGATTCAGGTGCTTTGCAGTCAGCCAGGTCACTTACGACACATGTCTTCACCGTTTTTTAGCGTTGCTCTATGCCGCCAATCCAGAGGCGCAAACCAACCTTACAACGCCCTCAAGCAAACAAAACCCTCCCAAGCCAACTAACTGTCTACCATCTACCCTTCTATGTACCAACTGGGCCTTTGTGGCATCTAGCTGACAACATGAAGATGCTTGTGTTCAATTCTGGCTGTCGATCTTCAACCCTCAAGGTTGTACGCCTATCGGTTCTTGATTCAAAGCTTCAGCAACTTGCTCAGAGTCTTCACTCTGAATCGCATCGTCTCCAAGGCCTACGCAATTTGACTACAAAACCAATTTAAGGGTAACTGCTACTCCGGAGTGAAAGTACATGGCACAAATCCCATGTTGTCCAAAGGGGATGATGGAACTAAGCCTACCTTAACCCAAGTGGGGTTTTGTGTTTTCCCGGGGCACACACTTTCCGGGGTCGATATTGATGGGAGGTAAGTACCTAGAGGCCCTGCAGACATGCGGGTGGATAAGGCACTTGCAGGTTCGCCCGATGACCAATACATATATATATATATATATATATATATGTGCTTGGATAATAAGTTTACTTTCGGCCTGGAACCTTTCCTACCTCTAAACAACCTTGAACCTTGCCTTGAACGTTTAACCAAAAAGAAATTAAACCTGCGCCAAGCGCGTCGCAGGCTACGAGGGCAAGAGCTCCGCCAGCATGCGCCGGGAGATGAAGAACTGGGCCTCGGCCTCCTGAAGACCCAGCGAAGCGGGCGTGGCTTTGTTGCGGGTACCCTTTTTGGTGTTACTTCAAAGGAGCGAAACCAAAGGGTTTACCACCATTCTAGGGGTGTGTTTGAAGGGCAGCCAAAGCGAAACCAAAGGGTTCACCAGCAATTTGGGGGTCCCCCTATGTAGGCTTCTGTCGATTTTATGGCGGGGAAAACGAGCGATTTAGTGCGTGGGGGATTCTAAAGGTGTCAGGTGTGGGAATTATGGTGAATTTGCAGAATTGCATTGCGGTGATTGGGGTGATTCAATTGAACTCATTGAATGTTAAAAATCAGGTTAGCCAATTAGCAACATGTCCGTTCTTATTCTAGGGGGCGATTGTCCTCATGTTCAACCATTGGCTGTCATTGACTTTCCAAGCGTTACAAGTTTTTTCCTGGGTGCGTTGAGATTCAGGTGGCCCTGTCAACGGATGGGAGGGGTCCAATGGCTTTGGCTGATTTGTTTGCAACAAACTCAGATTCTTGATCGCGCATGGTCTCGCATTGTGCTGAGCCGCAAAACCTGGACATCCAGATTTCAGGCGTTTCATGTCTTTCCGTTTGGTGCTTTTTGTTTACGCCAAGCAGTGGGGCTCGGTCGGGGTTGATCTCTTCAACCCAGACGCCGCCGGTCCAAAGCGATCGAATGGCTTGGCCGGAAGTGCATGGCTGTGGACGTAGACCTGCAGTACCAAACAATGGAGGGCCCTTTTGTTCTGATGGCCACTTGGGGGGGGGGAGGGTTCAACTTTTTGACAGATACAATACAATTTGCACGCGCGCTGGGGGTAGAATGAGCGAAAGACGTGATGTAGTTTTTGTTTGACCTAGGGGTCCCTTTTTATGTTTCGGGATTCTTGTAGAACTGTTCTCATGTGGAAATTATGCAATAATCTCCGATAGACAGGGTGGCTGGTGCAACAACACTCCGGGGCATTCTTCTTGAAGCTGCCGGGTCTTGTTTGTTTTGGCAGTAGGCCTGAAATGCAATGAGCACATCAAGGCAAGGCTACGACACTTCCATGCGACTGAGAGTAGCGCGCTTCAGGTAGCCCTTACTTACTTGGTGGTTGGATTGGCGGTTTGGGGACTTGAACCCCTGTTTTGCGTAGAGGGTGCATGGGAAAGCAGCCCTACACCGACCCACCAATCCAAACCACCAACCAAGGGCATGCCGAGCATTGGTTGGATAAAAAAGCCGGCAGCGACTGAAGCCGAGGCTGCTTCATGCCTGGTTCTTTTTGAGGAACCACCCTGCTTTAATTGTTCAAGGATGTCAACCCTTGAACTCGACCAACCTGGTTCTTGAAAACACCCTGAAACGTGGGCACAACAGTTTCTGTGTTGTACGTGTGTTTCAGGGGGATTCCGGTTGAACATGAAGCTGATATCGAACAGGTTCGCATGATTGAGATGTTTGTCAGGCCAGTTTGGCAGAGGTTTGCAGAGTTCAATCCAGTATTTTAGTATATTGTAGTTCAACACATATTAGCACACACACACACCAAGCTGTATTTCAAAGCAACAAGGCAATGACAAAAAGCAATTTGCAAAATCTTGTGGCGTTTCGGGGCCATAGGTTTGGTGTATCCCTCAGGCGGCCACTCGGTCACAGCGCTCCTTGCAGCAAACTGGCAAGGCAGGGAGACATGGGGACGCTCGCACGTGCAGGAGCAGACTTAAATCCTTATACCAGGTGGTTAGCAAAAAGTCAGGGCTCCTTTTGGCCCTTGATGTGACTTTACCCCTCCTGGTTGAATTTGTTCTACGCACAGATAATCATCTTCACTTCTGCGCGGCCTACCGCCTGGGTGGCCAAAAACTCAGACCATAGCTCCCAATGTCCCGCCCGCGCTGTTTTCACACATCATCTTTGCCTTTTTTTCAAAGTGAGCTGCCTTTGCGGGGTTGCTTGTTTGTTCACAACATCTGCCGGAGTTTAGGCTACCCGTGTCCATTTCGGTTTCAGTTTGTGTTTCCTTTTATTGTTGTGTTTCTTTGGAGACATAGTTGGGAACCAGTGGGCCTCTTCCTGGACCTCACCATCTCCCAGGATGCCATCTTGGAAAGAATGCCCCTTTTTGGAGCTGAGCCACGCGTTTTCGGGTCATTTTGCGGGTTGTGGGAGGCTGGTGCAAAAAACACGGTGATCACACAAATGCTGCTCTCTCATGATCATGACTTTTTATTTTAAAGTACCCCCGCCAATCCCATGAGAGTAATTTTGGCTCAAACAAATCCCCTTCCAACATCACCCAAATTTCCTTCCTTTTGGGATAAACGGGTATGTTTCAAAATAGGATGTTCCTTTGTTGCCCTAGCCAGCCTGACAAGGATATTGTGGGGTTGATCAAGAGATCCTTTACATGGGATGACCATTGGGGGAAACCACCAAAGAGATGATATTTCCCATCAGATAGGAAACATCAGCCATGGTCATTTGAGGGCCCAAAATTAAGACAACATGAGCAACCCCCCCAAAGCAAAAACAAAAGCAGCAACAATCATGCGTATATATATACATACATATACAATTTAGAATATATAAATATATATATATATATATAAATTATTGATTTATTTATTTATGTATATACATATTGTGTATGTATATATATACACACATATTTACAGGAAGCCCTGTGGCCAACGGTGCCAGCAGTCGCTGGGGCCCAGGAAGTGGAACCCCCGCAGGACGGGCTGAGGCCGCCGGCGCCGCTACACAGCGCTCATGGCTCGCCGGAGGCCATGGGCGGGTCGAAAGATCCACACGGCGTTTTCAGACCGGGGGGGGCTGCAGACCTGGACCAAATATGAATATATATATATATATATATGTCTATATTTTTATATGTATATATTTCTATATATATATATATGTAAAAAATATGTATACACATGAATACATGAACACATATATATATATAATAGCTTGGGTGCTATCAACTTGATACTTTTTGAACAGACAATTTTAGTGGCAATACAAAAAGGCTTGGACTTTTTGTTTGGGCCATCCACTCAGGAAGTGACTGTTTGGTTAGATCTTTGACCTTTCACTTGTTGAGGAAAATAGTTGTTTTCCCACTAACCCACGAGAAGTCGACAGTTTTGTGGGGTCAATGGCCACCGTTCGCTTGGTAGCATTCGAAAGGACCCCATTTGTCGAGCCACGAGGGTCAACCACCCCTGACGCGTGTGGACCTCATAACATCCGAAGGCTTTCATGTCGACCCCGGATGAAGCAGCCGGGTGGAGGCCAGTCCGTACCTCACGTTCCTGACAAGGCATCGGGCGCTTTAGGTTTAATGTAGGTCCCGGATTTTGTTCACCTGTCACGTCAGCTCAACCAAACTAGAATTGGTGTTGGGGATGTCTGCAAATGGCAAGTGTCCTTTTGGTTTCCCTTTGGCACAGTCCAAAAAGGGAAGACTTCTGATTGCAACTGAGACGTTAGCGTGTCTCTTTGCAAAGATACCCTGATTGGGGAGCTCTTAAGAAGGGAAAGAGAGACACCACCAATTTGGAGAGGTTATCTAGATGTGTCCCCGCGGTTGGTGGGTTACACTAAGCTGGATCACCGGTTGTAACTGAAGAGGTCCCTCTAACTGTCCCCGCGGTAGGTCATTGGTCGCAAGTGAAGTATTCGACCTCCGTGGCAGGCCACGGCCGCTTTGCTGCAGCACAACGCCACGGTTACGGCCACCGAGGCAAGCGGCCGCGAGGGTAAGGTTCATGTTGATGATGTAGGAACCTGTTCAGGTTGATAAAATGACAGCCCGGGCTCAAGCATGTTTAAAATCCGGTGTCTTTTTGTCTTTCTTCTTTCTTTCTTTCTTTCTTTCTTTCTTTCTTTCTTTCTTTCTTTCTTTCTTTCTTTCTTTCTTTCTTTCCCACCCCCCAATCCTCCCTCCCTCCCTCCCTCCCTCCCTCCCTCCTCCTCCCTCCCTCCCTCCCTCCTCCCCTCCCTCCCCTCCCTCCCTCCCTCCTCCCTCCCTCCCTCCCTCCCTCCCTCCCTCCCTCCCTCCCTCCCTCCCTCCCTCCCTCTCTCCCTCTCTTTCTCTCTCTGTCTCTCTCTCTCTCTCTCGCTCTCTCTCTCTCTCTCTCTCTCTCTCTCTCTCTCTTTCTCTCTCTTGCTCTGATAGTCTCTAACCCAGCTTGTGGTGCTGTTGGCGACGGAACCAGCTCAGTGCCAACAACAAAACATAATCCTGATTCCCCGCAAAATTGAATCTGGCTGCTTCCAGAATTTCCGAGATTCCCGTTTGAAGTTGTTGCTTTCAAGTGAGTTCCTTTCGGAAAGCGCTATGTTTCGAAGGCACATATGGAAGAGCGCCCCCCCTTTACCATGGCTTGAACTGAAGCGAAAGGAATCACTTCTGTGGCCGCGAAATGACCCATACACTTGTGTTTCGCTGAAGGACCCCAAAAGAAGATGGATCAGTCTTCATTTGTTCAGACATTTTCAGACCACCTATTTAGCACCCAAATTTGCAGTCCCTCATTCCAGGAAGCATCCATTTCAGGAACCGCAGGCTGGTGAATCGCCCGGGAAGTTCAGCCAGGCACACGGCGTGATGGCTCTCCACTTGGCGGCCACCAAAAATGCCCAGGACGGAAGGGCCGTTGGCCGATGCGGATCCAAACTCGCGCTGCGAACTGCCACATATTTTGGATCCGTTGATTCCAGCAAATGCATTCCAGACATGATGTTGCGTGGTAATGAAGGAGCTTGCTCAGCCTTTTTGATTGCTGCCTGCAACCTGGACATTCATTGATTCGGCAGGTACATTGGTGTACGGGTCTTTTGACACATATCCATTCAAGGACATATACTAAAGAGACAAATGCCGTTCAAACCCTTTGTGAATCGTATTTTTCTCAAGTCAATCCTATACCAGGGTGTGCTGGTTGCTTTGTGGCATTTTGAACGAGTCTTCACCAGAAGTTGCCTGAACAAAGGTTTCAGCCCTTGACATCAGCGCTCGCCACCAATATGCACGGTAGCGCCTGTTGCTATGAGGTTCCTGGCTTCTTCAGCTGGCCACAAGTGCTCACGTTCAGCAGACATCCTTCTCTGGGTTTGCCCCTTCCCATTTGATGTGTACCATTCACCCAAAAGGAACCTAACAGGGGATAGTCCTGGCTAGGATGGCGTGGCGATTCCTTGTTGGGGAATCTCCGGCAGTGAGGGGGGCAAGACTGGGCTATTGAGTAGGGGCCCCCTACTCACCAGTCAATGGTTCTCAGAACCCTTCTAAGAACCCCTTAGTCTGCTCAACCCATACGGACAAGCGAAAAATAGGTGTGCAGCACCTGTCAGAAAGAATGTATTGGTTTCTGGATCATTGTGATATGACTTTACATTTTAAGGTACTGGATTTAATAGGCTGTATGGATGTTGGACGACCCATCAAAGTGAGCAAAGGCGGCAGTGATAATTGGGCCGGCAGTGGTCTACAGGACGTTGGCTCAAGTAAGTTCTGTGAGGCACACAGTGTGTGTGTGTGTGTTTGTGTGTCTGTGTGTCTGTGTGTCTGTGTGTCTGTGTGTCTGTGTGTCTGTGTGTCTGTGTGTGTCTGTGTGTCTGTGTGTGGGTGCGTGCGTGCGTGCGTGCGTGCGTGCGTGCGTGCGTGCGTGCGTGCGTGCGTGCGTGCGTGGGGTGGGTGGGTGGGTGGGTGGGTGGGTGGGTGGGTGGGTGGGTGGGTGGGTGGGTGTGTGTGTGTGTGTGTGTGTGTCTGTGTCTGTGTCTGTGTCTGTGTCTGTGTCTGTGTCTGTGTCTGTGTCTGTGTCTGTGTCTGTGTCTGTGTCTGTGTCTGTGTCTGTGTCTGTGTCTGTGTCTGTGTCTGTGTCTGTGTCTGTGTCTGTGTCTGTGTCTGTGTCTGTGTCTGTGTCTGTGTCTGTGTCTGTGTCTGTGTCTGTGTCTGTGTCTCTGTGTCTGTCTCTGTGTCTGTGTCTCTGTGTCTGTGTCTGTGTCTCTGTGTCTGTGTCTGTGTCTCTGTGTCTGTGTCTGTGTCTGTGTCTGTGTCTGTGTCTGTGGGTGGGTGGGTGGGTGGGTGGGTGGGTGTGTGGGTGGGTGGGTGGGTGTGTGTGTGTGTGTGTTCGAGTGCTAGCACGACTGTGACTGGCAGCACCCATGTCGTATTGTTTGACGTGGAACCTTGCAAGTGAGGAGTGCTCGCCATCTTGGCCAGGGGAACAAAGTGGGGCGTTTCCTTTTGGTGTCCATTTAAAAGGACCCCCAACAGCGGGTACCCGGAAAAGACAACCCCATATCAGAAGAAGAAGCTATCAAACCTTCTTCGAGAGGGGGGTTGTGGGCACCTACCCCATCCGCATACCTGCATGCGTTTCATTGAGGGGGCCCGCCTTCCTTTGGCAAAAGGAGCATCATGTACAATCATGGCATCATGACTTCCATCGGGAGATGCAGCTACATAGGTAGTTTATTGCTACAGTGGAAACTATGTCTACGTATTATATATATATATACAATGTATGTGTATCTACAGGCAACAAGCACACACACACATGCATGTGACATATCTATATATATATATATACACATCACATGTGGAGAGAGACGAGGGAGCTTTTAAGCCTCGCAGGTTGTCCAACTCCTCTTGGACGCCAAGGCCCCGCGGTCAGCGGATCCTGCGGGTGGGATTGCACCCTGCAGTCCCGGGGCGTCTTTAAAGAAGCGGGCGCCAAAAGGGGCAAAGAGGGGGTCTTAGTTGTACCTCAATTTCAAGGGACTTGATTGAAAAGGATCCCATGAAATCCCTGGCTAGGCCGACCGAAAAAGTGGCTGAAGTCCTCTGCAGGAAGTTCTCCAAGTTGGGCGAAAAGCCGGAGGCTTGGCGAACCTGCTAGATTTGTTGGTAGGTTTCTTTGTTTTTCAATCATATGGGGGTGGGCCCTGGACGACCATGTTATCCTTGGAAGATCAAGGCCAACAGTGTTGCACTCCTTTTCTCGCATACATGCTGATACCATTGGGGCTGGTAGCGGCGGAGGATCCTATGGTAGCATTGACCATGGCGCGTGGCAACGGCTCGCATGGGGTGTGAACACCTCAAGGGCAGCTTCGGTGCGTTGGCCCCAGCGAGCTTCTGATGTTTACACAGGCATTTTCAGGCATCCTAGTTCGGTAACATCCTCCAAATCCCTTTTTGCTTGTTGGGTTCTGCACCCATAATGATCAAGCCTCAAAAGGGTTCCCTTGTCGACCAGGGTCGCAGGCAACTGGGGCATTCCTTTTGCCTGGTTTCGGGACAGGCGCCGTTGGCTGCCAAAGACCTGAACCAGCAGACGGCGGGTTGGGCCAAGCGGGTGCCGGGAGTTGGCAACGGGCCCCAAGATGCTACTAGGGGAAGTCACTGATTGTTTTTGTGGCTTTTGTTTTTTGTTTTTCTGCCGGCTTTTCCCCACAATCATCGGGGATGTGTGAATGGTTGGCTGTCATGCTGGTTTCATGTGAGTATCCTTGCAAACTCGGGTCCTACTTGTTTGTCCCGATTGGTGATCACTGGATAACTCCTTGTTGCGAGCAAGCAAATTGTGCCGTCCGGCCATGGACCCTGGATTTTCTGCGTGTGATATGATATGCCAAGTCTACGGCCAACCATCAGGGACTACATGTTCCTGTCGCCTGAGGTGATTCCACTCGTGCAACAGGTCCAGGTCAGCGACCACTTCCAGGAGCACTCAACCGTGCGGGTCAAACTTCGAGTGCCTGCACGACCTACTACCATCAACATTTGGTGCCATCCACCTGCCATCTGGTAACAAATCCACGCGTCACACTGGCACAACAGCGCAATTCCCGCCGTTCAAGCCGATGATCCCACGACCTGGCTCCGACGTTTCGTGGTCACCTTTGTGCCTTCGGGGTGATACAGGCTTGCTTAGTTTTGATTCTGCTTTTGAGTTTGGAATTCGATCAACACAAATTGTTCCCTTTGGCTTTTCTTTCAAGCACCCCCAAAAAGGCCACCAACTTCAACAACGACAGCCATGCGCCATGTTAAAAGAGCTGACAGAGTCCGTCACCCCTTCCCATATTTCAGAAGGATCCCTTCTTCTCACACATACCCACATATCAATGCAAGATTCGCCCACTGCGTCTCAAACAGATTCCTGGCAAAATTATTTCCTCAGAGTTTGCAATCTCATGGCCGTTGGCAACCTCAACCTTGATGAAGATTTCTTGCTTGGAGGTTTTGTTTGTGAGGTTGGCAAATTAACGTGGTTTGGTGGACAGGCCCCTTTGCGAAAAGGAACATTGTTTTCCCTTGGGAGTTGTGCACTGAACCATGATTGTTGGTGGGAGGCTAGTTATGGCAATGGGAAATCACCAAGATATTGACATTCCATACGTTTTTGACTCACACATCCCTGTATGTCGTCCCAAGGGTCCTCCATATTTGTTGAAAGTTGGTTTCAGGCCAAAAGTGGAGGGGATCCCTTTGAACACCAACATGGCATAAATGTCCATCGCGGATGGGAATCAACCACGTGTTGCAGACAGGGCCCTCTAAAGCTGCCCTTTCTTGGTCGCTTTAGTTGAAACAAGATGTGTCATCTTGGGGAACACGAGCGAACATCGAAAATCGGTCCCTTAGATTTTTCGTAGTTTGCCCAGGTTAACAAAGTATGGTGAACTACTTGCCATGATACCCTTCCATCCACTTGCCTGAAGGCTGACTGAGAGGTCCTGCAAGATCATGCTTCTGTTAAATGAACCCAGATTAGTTTCAGTCTGATTCTGCCCCTTCTCCTGTGCCACCCGCAGCTTTTTCGTCAGGCCTTGCACTTTGCGGCGCGGGCGGGCTGCTGCGAGAGCCTGGTCGGGATGCCCAGATCGGTTTGGGAACCGGGAAGCCCCCCGTTTCTGGGGTCTGCGCCGAAAATATGGGCAGACCAAATATGAAATGGGTAGACTAAGCATAAAATGGGTAGACCATGCTTAAACTCTTAGCCCTTTCACATTCTATGGTAGACCACAAATGAAGCAGAAGCTGAAGCCACTTGGTGGGTTGCAATTTTCGGAGCAGAAGATGACTGGCAGAAGTCTGCCAAAAGCCTGGTTGCTGGTGAGTATCAATCTGTTTGCATGGTTGTGGAAAATAGGACTTAAGGACCACTTTCTGTGACCAACGGCATTCCCCGTTGAGGTGATCAGGTATTCATGGAAATCAACAACTTTGGTATCACGGCAAAATGTGAATTTCCACAACCAGCAGTGAACACCATGTGGGTGTGTGTGTGTGTGTGTTTTTCTAGGATGCCCCCGAGGTCTCAGGTTGGTATAGAGGGAAACGAAAAGGAAAGCCACGACCATGGTGCCAGGGCCTGCAAGGTGCCCGGCAGCTGAGGCCGTGCTGTTGCGGCAGTGGCTGGCGGATGAGAGTATCATCTCCCAAGGAGCGTCGAGAGTTGGCCGTCAGTTGGCCCTCCAGTTGCCCAGTCACCCTTCAGATTGGTTTGATGACAGGGCGATCAAAGGAACACCGCAGATCTGTGCTTCTGAGCTTCAGATCCCCGTTTAGAGGAGCCCTGACAATTTTTGGAAACTCACCTTTCGTTAGTGGGATCCCCTCTATGGATCAACTACAAAAAGGTTCCAATTCTTGTTGCGACCATCACCGGGCAACTGAAAAAAGGCCAAGTCCTTTCTGAGGGTGAACATTTGGTGGAAAAACAACAGCACAACAGCAACAGATGAATGTTCCTACGGTTTCCCTTGGAAAGGCTTTTGTGGAAGAGAAGACACCTCCACAACACTCCATGTCCGAAAAGACTTAGGTCTTGATTGGCCATGTCAGACGAGGTTTGGATTAGCCACATCGGGGCTGTATGATACAACACAAGGCCAACTAGGTCCTTGCAGGTTGCGGCTGGGGGGCTTCTTGGTCGGGTACTTTGTGAGCTGGCTGGAAGAATCTACACTAATTCTAGCGAACTCACCTGGGCTAATACGACCTCACCCATGAATGTTGATTGGGGTTCCTCAATTATGGGCACATGATAGTCTTCTCAGTAGTTAGATTTGGGTGAACATATGGCACCTTCTCACCAGCGGGATTTAGTCATCCCCTTTACTTGCCTACACCCACCTGGGAGTATCCTTTTTCCTTTTTCCCCCAGCAACGGTGGGAGGGCACCTGGCATGGAACCCGGTCAGGTGCCAAGTAGGGAGGGAGAATAGTGCAGATGAATGAAGCTGGCTGCTTCTCCCCACCTCCATGAAATTACGGGAGGGGGGGAATCCACTGATGTTCCCATGTTTTGTGGGGATGGAGGATGCCCACATATTGGGGGGGGATCTGTTTTGCAACCACCTTGGGAGTTGCCGGGTGTTTCAGGGTTTGACCTGTACCCGCCTTTTGCGCGCCCATGGCTGGTGGTCCAAGGCGCCCGTGTCTACGGGGGGCCCCTGGACTGGCGGGACCGGTGGCACCGGACGCCGGTGCACTGGGCGGCAGCTTGGCGACAGCTCAGTTTCGGCGTCGGGAGTCGGGGCTGGGTTTTGCAGAAAAATGGACAGAATCCATGGACACCAGTTGGAGTTTTTTTCTGGTTTAGGAAAACCAGGATTCATAGGGCAAGTGCAGAGTTGGGTTCGGCTATCCACAGTATGCAGGTTTGTGCCACAAACCATTAGAAGCTTATCAGGTAGAAAGAAACGGACGTCTAAATTAAAGGGACATAGAACCTCCATACCTCCAGCGCCCATACCGTACAATAGCCATGCCCAGCAAGTGATGAAGGCTTACATCTGGAGTGCGACGCTAGTCTCTGCTAGTTCGAATCACTGCCACACCAAGCGAGTGGCTGCCAAACGGAAATCCCGGCCGCAGGTGCTGAACGGCCATCTCCAGGCACTGAAGGCCGTCGAAAAGTTGGGCTCGGTGTGCACTTGAAGGGTCCAAGTGCCGAAGGAGGTACCTTAACCTATCTCAACCCTTTCGATCCTCAAATATCATGCTGAGAGGATACGTAGGAAATCATAGGAACCTTCTGGCCGTGGCTGAGAACAGGTGTGTATTCCCTGGTGTCCGAAGAATTCCTGAGAATCATGCAGCGCAACAAGTGAAGGCGGTTTGTAGCCCAGGACGCACAAGTGGGAATCGGATTCAAATTGACTTGCTGCATGTGACCTGACGAAAGTCAAACGCCCTTGGCCAAAAGTTTGCCCAAGAGCTCTTGGAGATGGACGTGTGTGGCTGGTAAATTTAGCGGTATTCGCAAGCAAACCTTTGAGGATGGGCTTCAGTTGTCGTTAGTCTTATTGCTTTGAAGAGCCGTTCACTTCTGAAGATTCCAGGTTCATATTGATGGGAAGCATCCATCTCGCGAGATGATCTGTTTTCGATTTTAGTGAATGATATGTGTTTGCTTTCGCTCGTCGGGCATGTTTGTTCTAATTTAATTCTGTTTGCTCGCAACCCAAACTGTTTGATACCTCTTTTGAGAAGCCACACTGTTTGATTCCCCTTGTGAGAAGCCACAAGGGGACAGACACAAAGACACGTCTATCTTGACCCCCTCGCAAAAAGACCCAACCCCCGGAGGGCCACCCGTGCCCGTCTTGGCCCAAGGCTGGGCAGACGGTTTAGCAAAATGAGTGTGTGTTTTTTGGACGCCAGGTATTTTTTAGGGGCGGCTAAGAGAAACTCCTGTTGAAACCGGGCCCAACCCTTGAACATGTATGTGAGAACTCTGCAAAGTAGGTATCTGAGACTGCAGAACATGGTCATGCTCAACTGTTGATACTCACGGTCAAACAATACTTGATGCAGCTTGCCTGTCATTAAGCCATCATTCTATCCTTTCCCAACAATGAATGCGCCTAGTATCATGGCCTTGTTTGTGGAGGTTTAGTTTGTTGATGCTGGCGTAGGATTTTCAACATTGTTCCCAGGCTCATCGTTTGGCTGTTCGCTTGTGGATGTTAGCCGGCGAATGGGGAAGCTTCCCCGACAAAGTTTGCGGATGCGCCATCCGCATGCATTGCCGGCAATCAGTAGGCAGTGACCATTGCGACTTTCAGAAGCAGCTAACGCAGATTGCCGACCAGTTTTGTGTGTTGGCCAGGGACTGGGCAGTCCGCAGGGCGTTGGATTGGCTGAAAGCGCGTTCTCTGTGGTCAGGCTATGTGCGACGATGCAACAAACATGACTTAGAACAGTACCTTCTCAAGCGCAGCCCTTACATTTGAACAAACAAAACAAAAACACACAAAACAACACAATATCACACAGCGCGTACACAATAGCAAAATCACAAGCAACTTGGAAGTACCGACACCTCCAGTGCTTTTCTTTTTTTTGGTTGGACCTCACTGGTGTGGGATTGATTGAGAGGCGCTTCTGGAAGCTCGGGCCAGCGCGGAGCCTCCAAAGGCGCCGTTCGTTCGGCTGGGTTTTTTGGCGGGGGGGGGTGGGCGAATGGGTATGGGTCAAAATTAAGCAGGGCTCCTGAAAAGGATACATTTTGCACCCATTTGAAACATGTTGCTTTTTCAACACCAAAATGAAGGGAAACCACCATTTGCAAGGCAATGTTCAGGTGTGTAATGCAAGGATCCCTGTTAAGCCGCCTGGAATTGGACCGCAGGTTTTAGTCCATGTTTCCAGTTAGGATTCCACTTTGGGCACATATGTTTGATAAAACAGCCAAATGAGCGATTTGATGGCCAGTTTTTCCATCCAAGGAGAAGGAGCATTATTGTTTATCGCCCTCTGCTGGATATTCAATGCTTGTTTTGTCGATGGTGGACTTCGATGTTCGTATTCCAGCTTGGTGTATTTGTTTGAGCGTGTTTGTGTGCATTACCTCCAGAAACTGCTGAGCAGACCTTATGAGCATACCCCAGGCCCTATATGCTCAAAAGAACTTGGACTTGAAACACGTCGAACAAGGGACAATCAAAAGTATGTTTGTTCAATCCCCTTCCATTGGTGGATACTCAATGGTTGACCTGAGATGGAATGGAAGCTCGGTGAGAACACGACACCCGGACCTGGGACATTTCGGGGCTAGAGGGAAGCCTGGGCCGGTTGAAGGTGAAGCCGCGGATGGAGTTGGAGGTGGTTGATCCCAGCATTCATGTGGTTTGATCCATCTCGATTGGTGCAGGATCTTGTCCATCCGCAGATGTCCACAGTAATAGAAATCACACACGAACGGTTATGTCGACCCGGCCACGGTTCAAGCAGGTGCGAGAGTACCGCCACGTGAGGAGCACGACTCTGAGGAGCCGGGTTTAAGGGATCTGCGTGAATGGGCATACCAGGGTTAGGCAACGTGTTCAAACCAGCCGTTGGTTCCTTTGAAAGGGAGACCAACTGGAGGTTGTTTAAACAACTTGATTTAGCCAGGCATTGGCCCATTCCCGGTATGTGCGGTTTTGAGCGTGCCCTTTTCAGGTTGAATTCAAGAGAAAGCAAAAAACACACACACACACACTTTTTTCGGTCCCCCTACCTTGACACAAGCTTTGAATGTCCTGTGAGGATTTAATCATGTTTGCATAATATGTGCATTCCACATGGCCATGACAACCACATCTAACTTACAAAATGCCCGCTGTTTGGGTAGTAGGTCATCGCCAACGTGTCGGTTTGGCAGGTTCCACTAATGTGATGACGGCCTTTGCCCGGACTTTACTTCTATTAGGCCATCGAGCAATATTCGCCCTTTTTTCAAAACGCCCGTACGGTATTTGTTTGACGGAAGGCAACCATCATGTCAATGTGCTACTTTCCAGATTATCTTTCTTGCTTAAGATCTTATTAATCCTTCTTTAATCCTTTGTTGGTTTTGAAGGGAATCTATCACACTCGAAGTATTTGTATTTATTTAATTTTTCAGGGGGCAAAACCGCAAATGGAAGCTTCTGGATCTCCATGTCGTGGATTTACAAGAGGCAGCATCCAAATCGTCCTCGTTTCCCGGCTGCGGCTCAAGCGCGCAGGCACGAAAGTCCCTTGGACATCGCCCAGCGCCTGGAGCCGCAAATGGCGGGGACCCCAAGCCGCGGGTGAAGGTGGCCATGGAGTTTCGTTCACTTTCATTTGTGCGTGTTTTTTGAGGCCCAGAGTACCTTCACTCCTTTTGGGAGTTGGTTGGGGGAGGCATTTTGACACGCACACACACACACACACACTGTGAGCGTGGGATGGAAATTGTGCAAGTCTGGAACCGGGTCGATTCAAATAACAACCCCTCCAAATGGTGGTTGGGAACCTGCCCCATCAGTACTTCATTTTGGGAAGCCTCAAGATGTTCGCTTTAGAAGACCCAGTGAAGCGAAAACGAAACCGTGTTTGTTCTGCTTGGCAGATGATAAAGTCCAACAAGCAACCCCCAGCACCGCGCATGAAAATACTACCTAGAGATGCGCGAACACGAGCGCTACAAACAATGACTGCATGTCAGATCCAGTTTAAGGGGGTTGGAAACCATTGCGAGTCAAGGTCACAAAAGGTTAACTGTTTTTGGTTCAGGCTCTTTGCGCAGGGTTGGCAGGGATTGGTCATATTTCTGTTTGAAGAGTGCTTGGCGGTTCCAGCAAATTGCAAGGGCTTGCACCCCTTTGTGTAAGAGACGTTGTGGATTCCGAATCCGCCTGTGGATGAACAAGATCAGAGTGCTCAAACTGCAAAGCGTGCCACAAACAGAACATCCTGGATTAAACCTTCTTGAGAGACGAGCTGAGAAATGGACTCGGTTAAAGACCGCAAGGTGGATTTATCCGTGGTCAAGATCATTGGGGATTCCCACATGGGTTTTCGTTATGTAAGGGGCTGTCCCTTAACTTGTTTTGCAGGCCCAAACCATTGTAAACCCATACGTATTGAGGAAACAAGCGGATACCTCAGAAGCCAAGAAGACCAAACCAAGAACACGAAATCATAAATTTGCAGGGCCGAACCCAACTCATTGGCCGCGATGCCAAATCCAACCAGCTGCCCTGCAGCCTTCCCTGGAGCTGCCAACATGTACTTTGTGTGCTGCACTTGTACTGAAAAGTTACGACTTTCGAGCCGGAGCTGCCAGAGTGTAGACTTTCGGGCTAGAACTGCCAAAGCACTGTCAGCCGATGCTGAGGACAAAGCACGACACTGATTGACACTAAGGCATAAGGATATAAGGGATGTCCACGGGGTCTTTCTCAACTCGCATGTTGGTTCTGGCCCATTACAGGGTGACGGTAGATGGCACGATTCCATTGGGGCAAGGTGGGCGGAATTGGGCCCCACCTTCTACACCAGGGTCAAGGTAGACGGCACTCCTCATTTTTACGAGTAAGTGAACTGGATGACTTAGCCTCTCACCATCTAGGTTCACCCAACTGCAACTTTGACAACGTCGAGGAACAGTCAATAAATGTCAATATAATCCATGAATTTTGGCACACGCGCGACCCTAAATGTTCCGGACTCAGGTGGCGGTGCTCCTACAGCACGGAGCCGTAGCTGCCTGACGTGCAATGCTGCAAGGCCCAGGGCGGGCTTGATTTCCCGTGAGGAAACTAGCGTCGCATGGAACCAACACAAAAGAGAGTTCCCCCAAATGGGATTCCTCTAGAATTGCTCAGGGTCACAGGGAAGCTTCAAATGAAGTAGTCCAGCCCCTCTCAACGCACAACAGCCATCTTTTGTGGAAGCTCGGACCCTGAGATACCCTTTTGCGAAGCAGAGGGCGCAGGGATGTCCCCAAAAGTAAAGTAGTTTTACCACACCTCAGCCTTCCTGTCAACTTCCAAAACTGTGGAAGGGAGGTGTACCCAGCAAAAGAACTTGTGATTACAATGCTTTTAGGCGACGATTCCCAGGGTGTGCGGTAAGTCCACGAAAAGGCAATTTTATGGAAGGATCGGGCCGATTTGATCCGAATCCATGTACGCGAACCATATGTCATGACATATGAGCTTTCTACTGTGTGCGCGGAAGAGACGCGGAAGGGCGTCGGAAGAGATGCGGAAGGGCCAGAAACCGAAAACATTGATCGAAAACCAACAATCACTTGTGTGTAGATTTACAATGGGCGCGGAAGACGCGGCGGAATGGCAGTTTTTTCAGGAGCAGTATTTTTTGCACAACTCCCCATTTAATCCGCTATATATTTAGCTTGCTTCGAAGCGCAAACCGAAGGAACAACATCGTTTTGCGCCCCCCCTCCATTTTGACATATCCAGAGTAGATATCAGTGGCTTGTTTGGGGCAGACCGGGGGTGACTCGAGTTTCGTGCAAGGTCAAAGCTGTCATTACTACTAGTTCTCACTATCTTCATGCGCAGGGAGCTTGACAATGTGTCTTCATGGGACTGGAGTGAGATTTCCAGTTGGGGGGACATGTTATGCGGAGGAACTGCGTCAGCATCAGCTCAAGCTTTGAATGGCAGGGGGTGGTAAAGCCCCAGCTTTGCTTCATCCCGCGTTGCTGACACAGGCTAAAGACTCGCTCAATGCTAAGGTGGCTGCTTGGCTCATTTCGCCCGTTCCCACCAACGAGAACAGTGTCACCAGACTGCAGCTCAAGAAGCCTCTTCCAACATCCATGCTGGTTTTTGCCTAGTTCCGGCGTGTAAAAGGTTTGGAGGGGTTGCATGTCTCGTGATCTGGAGCTTGGCATTCATCTCCCCACCAGTGCCCCGCCAGGCAGCCAACTTGACCCTAGAGCTGCAGCACCCCGGGACGGCGACGAGGACCCAAGAACTGCAGGTCTAGTGGTCGTGACACGCGCACGCCTCAGCCAGGCAAGCACTTTCAACATCTGCGGAGATGAAGTTTTTGCACCTGACAAGCGCATCAGAGCTGCAGCGCTGCGTTGGACTGGACCTAAAGTCTGGCCCAAGCAGTTCGCGCTTCCCTAGCGGCCCTCACAGTGCAGTGAACCGCATCGAGGAAAACAACGCGCTCGTACAAAGGCGGGCTGACCAGCTCGGCACCCGACTTGTTCTGGGATTGGAGGTTTTGGCTGCGAGCAATTTCAGCGGGGCTCAAAACACCTAGTTGAGTTTGCGCCGTGCTGACAACCCCCGTTTGATGTTCAGATTCATTCGTGAGCGTGAGTGCGACGCTTGAACGCTATCGCAAGCGAATGCGAATTCGCTGTTGCGCGTGTGTTGGCTCATGACACCACCCGGGCTGAAGTGTTATTTTGTTTCATTTATATCAGACCGAGTGGCCAATTTGGACCAGAGTGCCGCATTCCACCGACCTGTTTACGACAAACAACCATTTTTTTCCTCCACAATATGTGTACAGTACCTATGTTTGTAGACATGCATGTTGTACCTGTTTTTGTGTCTGTTCGGCAACAACAGTCGTGCAATGTCATGCCTACAAGATTGCCTTACTGCATGTTATGGCAGTAAGGCATTGCTTGCTCAGCGCACGCGGCCCGGGCATACCGACCTTTTAGTGAATCTGAGCATCTGGGTTTATCTTGTGAGTCAGGGAAATACAGGGATGCCATGGAGGGTTTCACACTCAGGAGGGATTTTGCACGATGGAGTCCCTCACGTCCAGAGAAACGATCAGGCGAAACCACTCGCGCAGCCGTTGGCTTTTAAGACATTGAGGCCAATGCATGCCTCGTCCACGGGTCCATTGGAGCCGTGCACAGAGCACTGCTGCAACCTTCGCCAAGCAACTTGATGCTTCAGGTTAGAATGCGTTATCCGTCCCTGCAAGCCTTGTCTCATTCAGAATCATGCTAGATTTGTAAATGGCCCTTTGATGAGTGCCACTCCCTGAGGTGATTTGTTTTATTCGCCGGGTGAAACTTGAAAGCTGGCCATGTCTGGTAGGTTGTCACAAGGATTTCCCGTTCATCACACAAAGCCCAGCGAGCTGCGCATTGATGATATTCGCAGCCAGGCAGCAGATTTCATTTTGAGTGCTGGGAGGATTGCTGCGATTTTGATCCTTGGCGTGATAGCGGGTGCAAAAGATGCTCCCAGTTCAGCCACTTCTATCGTCCATGTTTTTGCATGGAGCTGTGCACCGTTGAAATTCTAGTTCGGACCTATTGGCTTCTTTTGTATGAGCATTTTAGTAGCAATGGTGCGTCAACGTTTGGTACCATCGTAAATAATCTTACATCTTTTGCCTTGTCTGAAGCCGATGGTTTGTAGCTTCACGCTTGCACGTTGAACAAGACCAGTGAATCGGTTTTAGGACTGCATCGCCAGAATGCGTACCCCAAGGCCCCAATGTAGCTGTTTTTCCATGTCGCTGGTTTCAAATCATGTCACAACTACGAGGTCCATTCAAGATGCACACGGCTTGCCTTGTTTTCACCTGACATGATTTTGCGAGGTTAGATGCTTGAGGAATGTCTCAGATGGCTTGCCTCTAGGTGTCAAGGTTTACTCAATATTGATGTGCAGCCACACATATATATATATATAGTTCAAATGCTCCGGAATTATCATGGTAGTTATATCATTGATGCTCGCAGCACTGATAATCACCAGCGAAGGAATAGCTGGCTTGTTCAACTTGGAAAATCCAGGATGGACGGAGCATTGTTGTGGTTGTGTGTTTCTTTTTTTGCATGACAAGTCATTGGCTTTGCGTGCTGAACTCCACTTGAGTTTTGATCTCCCGCGAGACAAATGCGCCAGATGTGGCCAGCAGGACTGTTCGAACTGTGGAAACGGGCGCCGGCAATGTCGCGGTTCGGGAGGCATGCAGTTCCTGTCTGATCTGAAGAAGGCTGCAAAGGGCGAACGCCAGGAAGAGGCGTTGTGAGTGTCGGACGGCTGGTGGCATGTTCTATGTGATGTAGAGGCTTGCTAATCCGGTGCTCACAAGCTCAGGCAGCATGAGGTCCCTTGCTTTTGGTTTCCTGAATTCAGGTTGGCAAATGAGCGTACTCGGTGCAGCGTGATGCTTGGTTTTTAGATGTGGAGTGGTGCTTGTGCTGATGTTGATTGGCCTTGCTGCGGTCAACAACCTCGTGAATCAAGGGCATGAGCCAATCCGCTTCGGATGATCATGACCACGTCCGTGTTGTGTTTTTGAGATGTACCCACCACAAAGACTAGAGGAAAAGCCAGAGTGGCCCACGGGGGAAAAGAACTAAATTTGAAGTGCCTTATGGAATTAGCATCGTTATTCTGGAACACACACACACACACACGTGTACGCACCCGGGACCCTACAGACCAAAACAAACACCAAACAAACAAGAAGACAACAGTGAAGATCATATAGGTTAGGGGTAAACAAGGCTTCTCAAGAGCAACATGATGCCAAATAATACCAAGAAAGACTGAACCTTTTTTGGTGGTCACAGGCATGGGGGAGGTGGCAGGGTCCATGATTTTCGGCACACTGTCCCCTTACGTATCCGGACTTTCCTTGCGCCTGCGGGCGCTTTTCAGATTTTGGGAAACCCGTCTGCGTTGCTGGTTCTCTATTAACACCATCCAAGAAGGGTTTCAATCCATTTCGAGGGCGCAAATGGGTGTGTGTTTGTTTTTGAGGGTACCCTGTCCTGGCTGGTTTAACAAGAACAAATCAACAGGCGACCCCCGATTTTGCCACATATCTTCTACGGATGGGGTGGGAACCTTGTCACCGCGGTCAGTTCTCCTTCGATGATGACACGGAGAAGAGTGCAGGGCCCAAGGGGCAGACAGATTGTTGTGCTGGGAACTCTCAGCAATTGACCGCGTTGGTTCAACTGCTGTTTACGCTTGTTATTGTATGTTGTTTGTTTGTGTGTTTGTTGATGGCTCTTCCCAAAACCGTGTTTTGATGTTACGTCACTTTGAAAGTTGTCCCCAGAAGGTTTTTTTTTCACAGCGTGATTGCGAGTTTAGGGAGGGTGCTTCACTTTGACAGAGGCCCACCAGTAGGACGGAGTTTGGCTGAGACAGTTAAAGTTCACGCCCCCGGTTGAAATTAAACACCAACATGTGCTCGTTGAGCTGAGTGAACTGATCAGCAAGCAGCACCTGTGCAGAGAGATTGTTTTGGTGTGGCAGGTTTCCAGTTGCCACAGGCGGGGGGAGCTTCAGGTTGGCTGGGCGAACGTGCGGTTGGGTGGCGCTGCTGGAGACAAGGAGTGGAGGAGCGAGTGTCCCTTTCGCTCCCAGCGAGCCGACTGGATGGCGTGGAGACTGGGGCGCCACCGCGCCGGACGAGTTGGGGCCAAATGGGTGCTGGCCTCGCTGGCGAGGCTCCGCGGCCTGCTGTTGTGAGCCTTTGTCAGTGGCCGCCTGTCACCCGCTTTGGCCGCCTCTTGCACTCTTGCCTGTTTGCCTTTGTCTGTTGATGGCACACTCCGGGCGGTTTTATCACTGGTGTATTTGATGCCAATGTGGTCTAAGTGTGTACGTTTAAGTCTGCAGCAAAACAAGCCACCTGCATTGGAGGGGGTCGTTGCTCACCCGGGATGAAGGTCCTTATTTGGGGATTCATTATTTCTACTTTGTGATCTCTAGTGATTTGCCCTGCCAGATACCCATTTGCTTAAAGGCCTGTTCTTAACTGGCGGTCAAGACAGTATGCCCATGGAGTTATATAAGTACGTTCTATTGAAGCCTCGGATTTCGCGATCCCAAAGCTGCTCTCAGTTCAAGCCAGTTGCGCGACGTTGAACCTGGTAGGATCATTTGGGTAGCAAGCCGCTCAGAACTGAGTACTTCGGTCGGTTCCAGTGGCGCTTTACGTCAGATAGTCCGTTCAATGCATTCTAACACCATCACACGCTTCATGTAAATGAATGAAGAACCCTGCAAATGGTGAATATCCTTTGCAGCTTTCGTTTGCCAAGGGTAAGGTCTTTGTCGTCTCACAGCAAAACCTTGCCAACACAGGATTTACTGCACGTATTGTTCAAGTTCGGAGGACCAGACTGATCTCGGGCATCTCTTCTCAGTACTGTCCTGCGGATTCATCCAAGGTTGATATTGAAGCCCCTAATTCGGGATTGACCAAGGACCAGCTTCTCACCAAACATGTAGTCGGCGCCGAGGCGTGTGTTGCATCGCTACTTTCGCTTCGGTAAAAGCCCTGTGTTGCACTAAGCCAATGTTTTGTTGCAGGGTAAGTCGAGCATTTGAGTCGCAAGGTTCCATACAATATCGGAGTGTCTCAAACAGTATATAGCTCCAAACATGGTTGGTTTACCCCAGAAGGTTTGCCGAGCCTCATAAAGACGCACCCAAAAGTTAATCACGTGCTGAAGGCTCCTCGGACAAGTGGCTTGAGAAGATCAGCAACGTGTCGAAAAAGATCCAGTCAGCGCCGGCTGCGGCCAAAGAGCAGGGAGCCACGGAGAGCAGACGGAAGGCATTCGACAGGTTTTATGGGTGTGTCTCGAAATGGGTTTGTCTTTTTCGAGGCAACCTCCCCAAAACAAGCGGTTTCCCTTGGTTTACTTTTGCATCAACACCAAAAAGCTACCTGACCAAAATTCAAGTATGGGACCCCCCAAGCATGGGTGGTTTGTTTTTGTGTTTCCGCTTAAAGCCACCCCAAGCAACGTGTACCCTCCAAGCAAGAAACACATGATATCTCTGCATTGTTAGTCAAACCAGTTTTTCCAGTGTGGCTAGTTGGAGGCGGTGCAGCCAACCACATCCTTCTCCGTAGGTGAGAGGACAATTTATAGGACGCCCAGCCTCGGGTGTTTTGCCGGGAGGGAATATGTCCACTGTCATTCCCACTTCAGCTTGTTCCTGGCGGATACAAGCAACACCTATTGCCCAACTATATAAAAGCTTTTGCACAAGCTCTCAGGGAAAAAAACACAAGAAACCAAAGCAAACGATGAGGGACCCCCTTTTCTACCGGGACCACCTCCTCTTTGACCAATATGAGTATGTTGCTACCTGTGTTGATAGTTCCGAGGATTGCCCTTCTCGAGTGTG